GATAGCTTGTGTCCCTTTTGTACCTGCAGTATCTATTTTTCAAAGTTCATCATTTGCAATACCTTTTTGCTAGCCACAACACTTGCGATATATATTTTGCAAGTTTTATCACTTGCGATAATTTTATGCAAGTCACAACACCTGCAATATCTATTTTGCAAGTTTCATCACTTGCGATATCTTTTCGCAAGTCGCAACACGTAAAGAAATTAATGTTTTTAAAAACATTTCTTACTAAGAGTTCTTTCAAGCTTGGCTAAAGAAGAAAAATAACTTAATACTCATTTAAACTAATTACTAATAAGCTAGTAAAAAAAAAAGAGGAGTTATGTTTAAATAATTTTTATTTATTAATTGCAATTTTTTTGATTAATTGAATTAAAAAACACAATTAGCAATGGCATTGAGAAGATTGTCACATTGTTTAACAATACCATTGCTAAAGACATGAATTACTATGGACAATAGTGACTTGAACAATTTTTCAACAGTTCTGGTAAATAAGTATTAAACAAAAACGGATGGGTTTTGTTTACTATTACGAGCCTAAGGAGCAGTTAATTACCTTAATTGGCTACATTAAAGTAGCTGGTTAGTCAAATATCTACAACTGGTAGGGGTAAAAACATCACTGCTGTAGCAATTGGTTTACAATACCTTTAACTAAAAAAAAAATTGTAATTAAAATAATAACTAAAATTATTTTAGACTTAAATTTAATGAAAGTAATGGTCCACGATAAAAATATTAAAAACCTTTTTCCATGTCAATGTCCATAGTTAAAGTAATCTCTATATAGAATATTCAAAAAAGAGTTTAATATAGCAGATGTAAAACGAAATCAAATATTATCTTAATTTTGAAAACATTATTATTATATTAATAATATAATCATTAATAATGTTATCACTATCAACACTATTTGTATTATTATTATCATTACTTGTATTATCAATCCTATTGCATAGTATTTACTTAAGATTAGTTTTTAACTATTTGTAAATAACCTCAATTGTATAATATGATATTACAAACAATATTAATATGATATTACAAACAATATTAATATTATTAAAATAAATTACTTGAGACACAACATAATGAATACTAAAATAAATAACAGGAACTTTTGTTATCAAGAATAAAAATAAACTATGCACAAACTTCAACAAACTATATCAAGTGCAGTAAGACACACTGGAGAAAACTGTCATTTAAAAATTTAATGCTAACTAATCCTAACTGACTTGAATCATAAGGATAAGTAAAAAATTTGATTTTATCAAGAATTACTAGTACACAATATATGTAGTCTCGTCAAATACTTTTCACTCAAAAATTGTGTTGTCCAATACAAATATTGCCATGTGTTGCTTTAAATAAAAGATTTGGTATGTAAACATCATTATATGATGAAAACTATTCACATACACATATAAATGATATACATTATTCTGTATAGTGTATATCATGTAGCTGTGTATGTGTATAGTGTATATCATATAATGATGTTGATCGTATAATGATGACTTACCAAACCGTTATCCTAAAGCAACACTTGGCAATATTTTTGTTAGACAACAATATCTTTCATAAAAATATTATTGTAATATTCATACTATATTCAACACATTATATGTATAAGTATAATAGTATATTGTTTATGTGTATGTATATAGTATACAGATACACGTATACAATATACACATATACTTATACATATAATATATTGAACATAGTATGAATATTATAATAATAATTTTGTGAAGAGACAATGTAAATAGTACCAGACTAATTCAAACCAGAGACCTTTTAAAAAACAAAAAATCAAAACATAACAACATATGTATATATATATATATATATATATATATATATATATATATATATATATATATATATAATATATATATATATATATATATATATATATATATATATATATATATATATATATATATATATATATATATATATATGTATATATATATATATATATATATATGTATATGTATATATATATATATATATATATATATATATATATATATATATATATATATATATATATATATATATATATATATATATATATATATAATCATATAGACATAAAATTAAATTAAACTTTTTTATTTTGTCGATGAAATTGCAGTTCTTGAGAGTTTAAAATGTTTTATATATATACATGATATGATATCAGCATAACATTTATACAAACCAAAGTATAATAACCAAATATTTATACAAACATTTATACAAATCAAAATATAATTTATACAAACCAAAATATAACATTTAGTTAATAACAAACGTTTACAAAATATATTTGTAATAAAAAAATATATCTTGTAAACGTTTTGTTTTGCTTTTATAGTACCATTATAGGTAACAAAAAAAATTTAAATAATGACACATATTGTAAAACGAAATTCGGCCGAAATTTTGTATCCACCGAAATCGGGCTAGTGCTGGACCAAAATCAAATGCTGTCGTAGTGGCTTACGACTAATCGCCAGAGTTCTAGCATTTCGTCGCACGCCGATGCGACTTCTTGCGATAATTTACCGTACATAAAAGAAAGCTGCTTGAATCGCTTGCCCAATTATTGCCATTTATTGCTCGTTACTAATATAGTCGCAACGCCGTGCGATGATTCGCCAGAATACTGGCCTGGAGTCGCGTGCTGTTTGGGATCATGGATAACAAAAAAAGCATTAAAAAAATCAAAATTATTGCAAAACGACATTCGGCCAAAACTCTGTATCCACCGCAATCAAGCCAGTGCTGTCCCAAAATCCAATGCCATTGCAGTGGCTTACGATCACTTGCCAGAGTTCTGGCATTTCGTCGCACGCCGCTGCAACTCATTGCGATGATTACCATACATGAAAAAGTTGCTTGAGTTGCTTGCCAGACTCGCGTCAGAAATGACCCGTTACTAATATACTCGCAGCCTTGTGTGATGATTTGTCTGAGTTCTGGCCTAGAGTCGTGTTCTGTCTGGTTAGAGTACCAGGCACAATTTTGTCTCTCAGAGATTCTTCTTGTATCTTCTTCTCAGAGATTCTTCTTGTATTTTTTTTTCAGAGATTCTTCTTGTATCTTCTTCTCAGAGATTCTTTTTGTATTTTTTTTTCAGAGATTCTTCTTGTATCTTCTTCTCAGAGATTCTTTTTTTACCAAGGACAAAATTTTATTTTATTTCAATACACTTCATTAGTAATTTCATAAACCAAATAATAACAATAACACCTAGTGCAATTGGTGAAGTTTTGACTAGTTTGGATTTTAATAGATGAAGAGTTTTCCTGCATGAAAAAATACCGCGGACTTGCTTCTAACTATGAAACAACTCATATTTGATTAAAATAGTTTTTTGTACATTTAAAATAATTAATTTTCATTTTATTTTTAATTAATTTAATCTGATTTTTTTATTATTTATTTTTTATTTATTATTTTTTATTTTTTATTATTAATATTTACCTAGTTTTCTATTCGCTAATGATTAGGGAAAAACAAACGGGTTTTTTCTTCTTCAAAATCTATTTTTTATGGAAGAAAAATTTTCGCATTTTAAAATATTTCTTCTCAATTTTTATATTTTTATATAATGTAAAAAATTCTTTATAAAACAGAAAAAAATCTTTAAAACATTTCTTTCTTTTAAGGGCCAAATATATTTATATATGTTGAAAGAAATTAAACCAATTGAAAAAACATTTCATTTTCTTTGTCATATAATGTTAAAGTTGTAAAATAAAAAAATAAAAGTTTTACTTAAAAATCTAAAACATAGCTAAGCAATTTTGATTTACATTATTGTCTCCTATCATTATATATTTGAAATATTTGAAATTTTAATATTTAAATAGTTATTAATAGTATTTCAGTTTGGCATTAGTAATTTTGTTCATAATGGTATCACATTGTTTTAAACAACGCAAGAATCTATAAAAATGTACATTTTATTTTTGTAATATACAATAAAACCATTACAAACTTGATAAATAAAAAAAGTACACTAACTTCACAAACAAACAAAAAAGTTCCATTCATACAAGTTTTCTAGATAACATTTTTAAAGAAAAACAATAACGATTCTTTTGCAATATTGTCGACTTTCGAGTATTGATGAATGGCAATCTTCTCAATAAGTGGGAACCTATTTTACTTCTTTTTAGATTAGCTTTACTCTTGACCTGCCATGGAAGCCATATATAAAATTCATTGAAAAGTTAATATCTGTTAAAGTTGCTTCTCTTTATCGTGTTTGTCGATTTCTCACTCCTGATTCCACTCTCTACTTCTAGAAATCTTTTTTTCGTACCTGTATGGAATATTGTTGTCATATTTGTGCTAATTCTTCTAATGATGCTCTTTCTTTTCAAGACATGGTCCAAAATCACATTTACAATATAACTGGTCCCGTTCTATATGCCACGCTTGCGCCGCTCCCCCATTACGTAACGTGACATCTCTTTTTCTTTTTTACATATACTATCATGGTCACTGCTCTAACAAGCTACCATCTTTAGTTCCTACAACTAAAACTTGTTCTTGTTTGACTAATCATTCAGCTAAATTGCATCCTTTTTTTGTATCTGTTCTTTCATGCTCTAAAACCATTAATTCGTCTAATTTCTTTGCTCGCTCATCAATGCTTTAAAACTCTTTCATCTTTATGTTTTCCTGATTCATAAAACTTACAAATTTTCAAGTCTTCTATCAACCGTTTCCTTGCTCTGTAACACTAGTTTTTGTTTCCTAGTAAATCCCAACTTAAAAGTAATTGCCTGCAACTTTGTTGGGAGTGAATATGTTTAAAAATATATATATATATATATAATAGTTGAAAGGAATAGTATAATATACTGTTAATAATATTTATAATAATATATTTTTATGTTTAGTTATTTTGAACTTCTTGGTCTAGTCTTGATAATTCTTTGTTTCATTTATTTTAATGTTTACCTTTTTTTTTTTTGCTTTTTTAG